ATATACGATTATGTATGTTAATTTGATAAAAATTTAAAATAAAACATTTAAAAATAAAACATGTAAAATAAATTAATTAACTAATTATGAAGGTATATAATATAAATTAAAAATTATAATTTAAAAAAAATATGTGAAAGGGTTAATTGAAATGACTTGACGATGGAATGGTCCAACCGGATGATGAAATTATTTGAGAAGAGACGCGTGGGCATGGTTTGAGCCGTACATGAACATCTAAATGATGGTCATTATTGCGCCACGTGGATATAAAATTTCATGAACGTTATCCCTCCAACCAATTATCTCATCTCTCATCCACTTCCTAACCAAACACCCGCCCTCGTTTCATCATTTCTCCACACACACACACACACACTCACCCTCACCTACTCTCTTGCTCTCTTCCCGCCGGCAGCATTCCCATTTCCCAATATACAGACACAGTACGTCTTCTTCCTTTTTCATGTCATTTAAGCGTAAGTTACAAGTCATTAATGCTTCATATTACTGAATTTTGAGATTATTGCTCTGGAAATTCTATATGCGATTTGATTATTTGTTATATTAGGATTTTTTTTATTTTGTTTTTCCAGGTGATAAATAATTCTTTTCAACATAAAATTGTACCCTATTTCATAAATTAGTTGTTATTTGTTTAAAAGTATATTTTAAATTCACCATATTCATTTGTATAAATATTGTAATTCAATCAATTGAGATATTTATAAAAATAATGAGAATTTATTTATTATGATTTTGATATTTATGGAAGATGATTAAAGTTTATTAATTATGATCAATACTTTATATTATGAAACAATGAAAACTTTTATGATATCACATATTCATCAAATTAAATAAACGGTTGAGATTGAATTGTATTAGTTGTACAAATGTAAAAAGTTGCATAATAATTCACCTCATTTATTCAAATATCCTTAACAATTTTTTTATAATTCTTTTAAAATAAAAAATTAAAAAATTAAAACATTCAAATTAATTTATATTCTTTATTTTAGAGATTTCAATAGTAATTATAATAATAAAATATTTTATCATTTTGATATACTTTTTTTAAAAAAATAGGTAAAATAATTATAATTCAATTTCATTTGTAGGATAAAAAAATAAAAAATTTAAATAATTTATTGGAGTAAAATAGGAAACAAAAACCTTCATTATCTCTATTTTTGATGATCTATAGGAGATGCTCTTAGTTGATAAATTAAAGGTTAATGCAAAATAATTATGTCAAAAACTTAATTAAAAAAATGATTGATTATTTTTTGGAATAATCCGTTGAGCTTATTGAAACGTTGCTTGAAGCAGTTTTTTTTCTTTCAAAGCTAGTTATGGATAATTAAATTTTTTTTACTTTCTAATAAACTCGAAAAATAAATTAGTTTATGGTTGTCAAACATGGCTTTAAATCTGTATCGTGTTTTTCATCAAATTTCTATTAAACATATAAAAATACTATTGACATTCATATTGTGTTATTAAATATTGTTCAATAGTTTCTAGTGATGTATTGACAGAACCTTGGTAAAACTGCTTGCAGTTTTCGTATCATTGGTCAGCTAGTTCGAAAGCAGTGATCAAATTTTTGTAATTGTCACAAAAATCTTATACTGAATTGGATACGAAAAAATTGATTTTAGTGATGTGTTTGATATTTACGTGTAGGTGACTGGTGAAAACTTAAAATTGGTAATTAATGGAATGGTCAGATGCTGAATCGAGCACTACGAATAGTAAACCAACATCGATCAACAAATGGATGGCGTTTGATAATGATTCGAATCAAAATAAACCACCGATGGCTAGAATTACTCCGCCCGAAGATGAATTTGATGTTATGAACATAGTTGAGAGGACATCGGAATGGCCGGGAGCAGCCACGGTAGTAGCAAGTTTGATTGGAGACGAAGAGAGAAACAAGAGGAGTTCGTCGGCGTCATGGAGGACGTCGGATGACGAGTTTTCATCAAGTACGCAACCACGAGTTTCGCAGGAATTAAAGGATGCTTTGGCGACACTTCAACAGACCTTTGTTGTCTCTGACGCCACCAAGCCGGATTGCCCGATAATGTATGCCAGTAGCGGGTTTTTTACGATGACCGGTTATTCTTCGAAAGAGGTCGTTGGTAGAAATTGGTAAGTCTTCATTTTGTATAGACTTCAAGTTATAATAAACAAAAAATTTGAGATATTATATTAAAAATGTTGATATTTGACGAATTTTTACTTTTATTAATATAATAAAAAGAAAATTGATCAAAATAACCATTTCTCTCTTTTAAATTGGTTTTTTAATCATTTTCTCCATCTTTTACCAAAATATCACTACATCTGTGTAGTTACAAATTCTCAATTTGTAAAAAGGTCAAAAGGTAAAAAAAAAAAAAAAAAGTTTTTAAACATGATCGACTAGTACAGGGACCAAATCCCCAATTTCAATTAATGGTCTGCAATTTGCGCAGATATATATAAATACTTTTATAGTTTTTGCCCCTGCATTTGTGAAGCATGTTTAGAAACTTTTTTTTTTTACTTTTTAACCCCTGCATAAATTAAGGAGCTATTAGTTACGCAGATAATAACATTTTGATAAAAAGCGAAAAGGAAATATTAAAAGACCAATTTTAAAGAGAGAAATAACTATTTGGGTAAACTTCCCTTAAAAAATGTTAGGATGAGTTCATATAAATGAACTTCTAGAAGAGTTATATTAAATAAGGTTGACCTTTAAATGTTTTTAATTAATTAATATATCCAATATGATTTAATGTTTTTAAAAAAACCCTTTAATTTAGGTATTTAAAATATATATATATATATATATATGGTTTGGGGAAAATTATAAATAAGATTCTTAATGTGAAACAGTTCGATTACATAGTTTACATTTTGTTTTGAATTAGCCTCGACTCCTTACCTTAACAATATCCAAGTTAAATGACCGTATGCGCCTGTCATGTAAGAATCATTTTAGTATAATTAAAAAGACTTAGGGGCCGTTTATCAAACACTTCCGGTAATCGCTTACCGGTAAATTTAACACTATCATTTACTTATCGGATAAGATTTCCACTAAAACGGTATCATATGTAAATGACATAAAATAAGTTAACAAGTATTTATTTTTGATATTCAAATGACAATTACAAGATTCTAACGAATATATGACTTCAATTTAAAAAAAATAGAGGTTGATAAAAATGACGCATTCTTTTTTGGTTTATCACACTTTTCTATCAGGGACGTTCCAAATTTTGTGGAGGGCCTGCTACGTTTAAAACTTTTGATTACATTGAATAAATGAAATAACAGAGAATATATGTTAAAAACAAAAATGAGCTAAACCTAAAACGATTAACAATCTGAAACTAAATCTAAACTATTAATGATTTGAACCTAAAACCAAACAATTAATGGTTTGAAACTAAATAATTTCGGCTACAGTTTTACACAGGTCGATAAAAAATCCTAAACACATGTAAATTTGAGTCCCAAAATTTCAGGGTCGCTGTTCAAAATTTCACATTTAACATGCCAAGAACCGACCCTGTTTTCTACCGTATATAAGAAATAATATGGATGCAAAAATTTATTAGTTAAAAAAAAATAATGTTTAGGAACGGCTCAAAGTATGAAATTTCTTTTGTTTTTTTGTTTTTAAAAAAATTAAGAATTTATTTATTTGATTTTTAAAATTTATTTACTGAAAAACAGTTTTTAAAAATAATGGTTGTTTTTTTAACTTAAAAAAAAAAACAAATATTTATGATATGAAGTGCGAAGGTGGTGCACCAAGGTTCACCGGCGATCATGGTACACCGCTAAGCTGTTTCACTCATTCTATCAATTACACAAAAGAGTAGCCACAAGGTTTTGCCCAACAGACACCATTTTAGAAATCATAGAAGCTGCCTGAGGAGATGCTGTTGGTGTTTGTTGTGCAGTCGGTTTCTACAGGGAAAGGAGACGGACCAGAATGAGGTGGATAAAATACGGCATGCGGTCAAAACAGGAAGTAGCTACTGCGGCAGGCTCTACAACTATAAGAAAGATGGCACCCCGTTCTGGAATCTACTCACCATCACTCCTATCAAAGATGAAAATGGAAAGACAATCAAATTTATTGGGTAATTTATCTTACGCTTTACTTCTATTAGATATGCCTTCCAGCTGAACTGTAGTACTTTAGATTGTTTTTTGTGGTCATATCATCATTGTTAATATATGGAATTTGGAAAATCAAGTTATGTGACTACTAACTGTGTGGTTTGTACTCCTTTCTTTGAAAATCGTCACAATTTCCATATCTTTCCTTTTTTCCAAAAAGTTGAAGCTTATATTGACCCCATGTACACATTGTGATGGCTAAATTGATTGATGCTATGATTTGGCATGCAAGGTTCTCGTATTTTTGTCATTATTGAAATATATTCTAGGCATGTTAGAACTAGTCAAAAGTTTATATCAAACTAAATGTAAAATCAAACTTCCCTGTTTTAATAAGACCAAGGGATTTTGTTATTGTTGTAGGGTTTTTTTTTTGACATTTGATTACTTGTCCAACGTATCTATGCAATTAAGCTTACAGCCAAAAATTGCAAATTTTTATGGGAAAGAGGGAGAAGTATCTTTTAGTATAGTGTCTCATACATTTGCTAGCTACCTTCCAGCGGACATTCACAGGGCTTTATATTTCATGCTATGAATATGCTGCATTAACATCCTAATCTTCATGTTTAACCATGCATCAAATTGGATCATCTGTTTCCCCGACCTCATTATTCAAGTAGTTACTAGCTAGCAGGTTAATAGCTACTAATTGAATACCAAAGTTCCTGCACTACATGAAATATACATGAAGTGCCTATGATAATCTAGCTTTTCAGAGAACCATCATGTTGAAATGAGAGGACATAGTTTTTTGTTTAGTTTTTTGCTTTTCGAATACAAACTTCTATTGTACCAGTTAGTTCTTTGCTTATTTATGTTATTATAGTGGATAGCACCTTTTTTTACTTCACAGAATGCAAGTAGAAGTCAGCAAGTACACTGAAGGTGTGAATGAAAAGGAATTGCGACCAAATGGATTGCCAACTTCACTAATTCGCTATGATGGTAAGTAAACCGACATTGCTTTTGCTTTGTATACCATGGGATGAACTGTTTCTGAAAGCTTCAATTTTCACCATGGCCAGCTCGTCAGAAGGAAACGGCACTAGGTTCCATTGTGGAGGTTGTACAGACTGTTGAGCGTCCTCGTACGCACAACCAGTCTAGTAAAACTGAAATTGAGGAAAAGGTCATTGATTCCTCGCTTGCTATATCAGCAGAAAAACAGAGCCTAGCTACACCTGGAAGAGAAACACCTCTCTTTGATCCTAAAGGTGATTTATCTCGTACAAATTCTTGGGGTGCATCTAATACGAAATCCAGGAAATCAATACGCAGTTCCTTAATGGGGTGAGTCCTTATCTATCTGCTGGTGTCATTTATCTTATTTCCCATTTCCTATATTATTGCTGCTGTCCTCGCATTCACTCTATTCATACTTGTTACCAGTCTGTATGTATGCTGGATGGATCTGGTAGTTTAATGTTTAAACAGTCCCTCAAAATAGAGTTCATATTTGATTTTAGATATTTGTACCTTATTTCCAAATTTTAAGTTGCATGGAATTTTGTTTTTGTTTTCTTAACTTCAAAATTCTTCAATTCTATTGCCTTTACACAGATATCAGTTGCAGTTATTAGATCCTCTTACACAATAAAAAACTTATAGTGAATTTTAAGTTTAGTTAATTGACACTCAGAAGCCAAATGTGACTTCTTTTTTGGAGTTGGATTACGTATTATGGATTATTAAATCCAAAGTAAGAAATAGGCCACTAGAGATATGACTGTGCAATGCCTAAATGTGGAGAAATGACTGTGTAAACTCTGCAGTGCCTATACAACTAAATCAAACCAAACAAATGAATGCAGTTTATCCCACATAGAGGTCTGCAATGCTATATGCTGATTGCATCCTTGTTACCTAATTATGCTATAAGACATAACTTCTTGTGCCTCGTTGTTAGAGTTATCGTTGTTAGAGTTTCTCGATATTCCCTAGATTTAGTTCTATTGTTGAATGGTACAAGTATGACTTAGGACTTTAAGTTTATATTCTGATAGGCCTCATGAATCCTGGATCAATTCCAAATTGTATGTGAAGCATGTTTCAATCTTTACAGGTTTAAAGGAAGGGCTTCGACCAATGAGCCTCAACCAACTATTGAGCCTGAGGAGTTAATGACAAAAGACATAGCTCGCACTGATAGCTGGGATCGTGTGGAAAGAGTGAGGGACATGCGTCAAGGAATTGACTTGGCAACCACACTGGAACGTATTGAAAAGAATTTTGTGATAACAGATCCAAGGCTCCCCGATAACCCCATTGTAAGAACATGATTAAACATTTCTTTCTCCTTCGTGCACTTATTATCAATTCTTACTTTGCACTTGTAAGATCTATCTGCCATACAATAGTGTTTGAAAGTACTGTCCTTTATGAGATGCAGCATAAATTTGGATCCTGAATCTCTACTCGAAATGCAGATTTTCGCATCAGATAGCTTCCTTGAATTGACAGAGTTCACACGAGAGGAAATTTTGGGAAGAAACTGTCGGTATGAAGCTTCAGCTTTTAGATAATTTTGATCTAAAAATATGCTTCTTCTTTTTAAATTTTATATTTGTAGCATATGTGAATATATCTGTACCAATGTGACTGGTGAGAATACATGGTTTCACATCTATGATGCGTTTAACTGAGAAATCACATTGTATTCTCTTGCCTTAGCATTTGATTCTTACTTTATATCATCTGCAAGAAATGTTCTCTCTGGCAACACAAGTCATCATTTCGATGAGATGTCAAACTGAACTCTCCTTTAATGTATGAAGTGGCATGTGAATCCCCTGCAGAACCTTTTAGCTGAACAAGTAGCAATTTCTTGCCTTCACAGTTGGTTACTTCTCAATAAGTACCCATCTCTAGTTTCTATTGAACCAAAGTTGATTTCGAATATGGCTCTCATGTGGTCCAAACATTGGTTAAGTTTGCACATATTTTGAGAATATCCTTAAGACTGTAAGCTAATTTAATTGTAAATCAACAAAGTGCTGACCAACATGAATAATGAATGTCTGTTGTAAGCTTGCAAGCCTGGTTGGTGCTGCTTGTTTGGCTCTTCCCTGTGTAGGATAGTGGTTCTTCTATCTGCAAGAAAGATGAGGTTTGTATAAGCTTGATTTTTGGCTTCCAAACTCTTCTGTATGACTGAAGATTGAGATTATGTTTTGAGCTTATTTGCTCTTACAAATCGTCAAAGAGCTAAAACAGCGCCCTTTTGGTGGTGGGTTAAGTTTATGTTAGTGGAGGTGTCCGAGGGGCATAGAGTTTCAACAACAATCCTCAATTATTTATTGAAGTGAAAAGGTATTAATTGGCAAAACTTTGTAGTTATGCCTCTTAACAAAGTCTGTCAATTCTTTTCGAGGCATGGACTGTTCAACGGTGACAAGGCCTTGTGCCGGGTAGAGGCAGATATTGGGGGGAAGGGTAGAGGCAGAGAGCGCGACAGACAAGAGAGTAAAATGATGGGAACCAGTCAGGGTTGGAAGTTTGAGTAAAATGGTGTTAAGTTGAATTGAGAATTGTAGTGCCCTGAAACTATGATATAGTGTTCCAAAAGTTTGTGGTCACCAATTTTTAGCAAGTATATCAAGCATTAGCAAAATTAATTTCATTGTCATACCTAATCCTATAAGTACAGATTTGAGAGAGGGAGTAAGAGAACTTCCAAAAAGTAAAATGGTCATTGAAGAATATATGATCATTCTCAGGGGTTTGTGTAGGAATTAATAATACCCTAAATTTATTCCTGCTCATTTCTCATGACTTCTGTTTCTTGCCTCCTAACTTGAAGCTTTTACTGAAGTCTTCTTGTTGATATTTGATGGGATTGTATGGTTTCAAGTCATTAATTGTATTGCATCACTTCTTCGCCTTTTTTCCCCTCTGCTTCTCATCTTCCGTCAGGTAATGTGTAGTCTCCATTATTGTTTTGTACAGATTTCTTCAAGGACCTGAAACAGATCAAGGAACTGTTGACAAAATACGTGCTGCTATCAGAGAACAAAGGGAAATTACTGTGCAGTTGATCAACTATACAAAGAGTGGTAAGCTACGCCTTCAATATTTCAAAATATGGTAGTGCTGAAAACTATGGTCGACATCATTGGGTCTATGTGATTGATTTGTTTTGTCTGCATGAACTAAATTTGTCATAGGGAAGAAATTCTGGAATTTATTCCACTTGCAACCTATGCGGGACCAAAAGGTGAAGTACACAAATTTATTTTTAACTACACACAAAAGAGACTGAATATACGGTTGCATTTCCTTTATGGAATTTGAGCCAATCTAATACCTTCAACATTCAGGGAGAACTTCAATACTTTATTGGTGTCCAACTAGATGGAAGTGGTCATGTGGAGCCCCTAAGGAATCGCCTTTCAGACACGACAGAGAAACAAAGTGCTAAGTTGGTATATTTCTCTATTATCTTTGAGATATAATGGAATGGAGAGTTGGGACTTCCCTTTGTAGTTCTACACTTTGTTTGTTACCATAAAGTGCAAAAGAAAGAAAAAGAGCTTAATGCTACGTATATCTTTCTTCCAATAAGAAATGTAAGGACGAGGCGGTACTTGTGATATTTCGGCTAACATTTTAAGATGTTGAAAAAAGGATAGTATCATGCTAATATAAAGATCCCAATATCCCTGGTTATCTTTCTTCCAATAAGAAATGTGACCAGGCATATTGGGATCTTTATATTAGCATGATACTATCCTTCTTTCAACATCTTAAAATGTCGAAAACTTTCTTCTTCAAATATGGATACTGTATGTGTGCATCGTCAGGTCCTTCAGGCAAATGTGCTTTTAAGTATGGCAGTTTGTAAGTTAAAGTATCATATCTTATTAGTATATCTAAGCTCTCTTCCAAAGGCAGCGTAAGTCTTGGTTATGATTTGCTGTCAGGTAATTAATTACCTGTAACTGATACCGAGTCTGTTAATGCTCTTTGCCGTCCACCGAGTGTTTGGGGAAATGTGACTAATCAACTGATTAAGGTTTTTTCCTGATTTTTCCCTACAGGGTGTTTGTCTGAAGATATTAGATAAAAAAAGATATTAAGTGATAACAGCAAACGCTGTTAACAACACATGACCTATATGTTATTCTAATTATGGTTTACCTCTAGATTTTGCTTAAAATTGTATATTTCTGACAGCAACCTGTTTTATACTCTAATTATGGTTTACCTTTGGTTTATTATGCTTTCATGCTCATTGGAAACCAGACTTTTACTTGCTATAACAACCACCTCTAGGTAAAAGTGGTAGCCCCACAAAACAACCATCACACCCCCTTGCCACTTGTGTTTCTTGGCTAACTATTTTGGCGAAACATCTTCCAAGAACACAAATTGATACCATATGTAGCTTGGACACATTTGATGATGTATTGAACAAATGTGTAGTTTTTGTTAGTGGTTCACATCAAGGGTTTGCTTAGGTTTTCATATTTCCAACCATTAGGCCACTTCTGTACTTTACTTATTTTCGTTTTCGTTGATGATAGAGAACGTGTTCTACAAATACAAATCCTGGTAGTGATAAGGTGTTCAAACAAAGAAAAAATAATACAGAACTACAGAAGCAGGACACTAATATTTTGGTTAATTCCTGATGAAGTTATCTTTCAAAATGAGTGCTCCCTAAAACTGTTCATGCTGATCACAAACTCTAGATTTTGTTGGTATCACCCACTTGTTGTAGGCTCAAGGAAATTGTTAGAATCAGATGCTAGCGTATATATCAATGTTATGCAAGTAGTGGCTTCTTAGGATTCCTCCTCATGTAAGGTTTCTTCTCTCTCACCAGGTAAAAGCTACCGCAGAAAATGTTGATGAAGCAGTTAGAGAACTTCCTGATGCCAACTTGGTAAGGTACTCGTCTTTCCTTAGTATGCTACTTGAGAAGTGCTATTTATTGTTACGGCTTTAGAACATTATGGCTTAAACTTCTTTGATCACATTATTTTACATGCCTTTATGAAGTTAATATGCAAAAAAAAGCTTATTCCTTTTTCTAATATTTGAACATGTTTAACATCCATCAGATTCAAAAAGCTGCATATGGTTTAATGGAATTATTTCCTCTGTCCCAAATTGACTAATTGAGTGGACCTTTATTTGTATAACCTTTTAAGCGACTTCACGTAGTGTTTTTTAAACTAAAGCTTGGGTAGTTCTACATTTTTCCTTGATAAGTTTCTTAGATGTCAATTTTGGTTAATTCATCAAGGATTGTTGAAGCGATTAATCATTTGAGATGTTTGGTCACCAAAAGAATTTTTAAATCTTATAGAAAAATATTATTAATGGTGACTTGTGGTCATTTACATCCCAAAATGATATAATGTTTCTCAATTTCTATGTTATTAGCAAAAAACTCTATAATTGTTTATAGGGGTATAAGCTACATATTTCTTGTTTCTATGTATAGTGAAAAAATTACCATGTCATCTGCAGTTTTTACTTCTATATATGTTTTTACTTGTTTTTGACTGATGAAAGTTTTGTTCTGTCCCACTTCAGAGGCCAGAGGATTTGTGGGCTATCCACTCTCAACCTGTCTTTCCTAGGCCTCACAAAAAGTACAATTCTTCTTGGAAAGCAATTCAGAAGGTAACGGTTTCTTTAAAGTGGCATCATTTTTGGCGGACGCTTTCATTTGAATTCCTGCCCTTTAAACCTTTGGTAGAGTGTCATAGTCAGACGATGCATGCAAATGCCATTCTTCTTTCTAGTTCGTACAATTATGTTCTGTTCCTCTAGTTAGGTGATCAAAATTTTGTTCTGGCAAGAAAAAAGTTATGCTGGATATTTGCTTCCCAATACTATCAATAAATACTACAATAGTATACTGTTTGTATCCTTGGCTGTCAAAATGAACTTATGGAGTTGGCCTAAGGCCTATTGGATACACAGAACGATTGCATTACTAGCTGACAGTTAATGTTATATAGATCAAGATTATGTTTTTTTAGTACTTACCAAAAGAACATATGTAAAGCTATTGTACAAGTGTCCATACATTTTCTTCTATATGTAGTTGATGCTTTGCTGAGAGTTGGTTTGTGTTATGGACATGAGGTGTGATATCCCTCACCCCTGTGTCTTCAATTTTTATGCTCCTTGCTTCCATGTTCTATATTGGAGTATCAACTAAATTGACACAAATTATCAGTGAATTTGATGTAATAGAATAAAATCCACTTTTATGCAATGTCTAGATGTAGTAGTATTTTATATTTTCTCTGTTCCCTGTTGGCCCCTCTGATCTACTGTAGAAATATTCAGTATCCTTAGAGATACTCGGTCACCTTAAGAATACTCAATATTCATTGTGTAAATATAGCCTTTGTACCTCCCTCTTTTGAAAGCGAAATAAAAAAGAATTCCACATGGTAACAGAGCATCTTGATGCAAATTGATTGTTGTCGGTAGCTTTCTTATTGAATTGAGTAAAGAAAAGAAAGAATACAATGGTTACACAGCTTTCGAGAGGCTGGTTCTCTCCCTAGAGAGCTGACGCTCCTTTTCAAACTGGCAAAACAGAATGCCACACCTCTGACCAACTTCCCCATTATAAAGGCTGTCACAAATATTCTATTCAGAAGAATACCCAAACTACCCTCCAACTACCCTCCACTTACTTACAATTAAACTATTTAAATCTTCTTTTATATGTGAAACGTACAGTAGGCTTATCAGTATATTCATTATCTGAAATTGCAACATCAGTTGGAAGTAACAGAATGAGGACTTGGTCAGCTTCTCAATGAACCAAATTGCACCATACAATACAATGCGAAATTCTACTTGTAAATGCTTAGTTGCTGAGGGTCAAGTGGCTTCTAATCTCTTGACAGTAGTGTACATAGTCTTAAAATCTGTGAATGTGCTCCCCTGGTGTGTAGCTATGTTGTTATATTAAGTCTAAATTTTAGACTGGTTGTTGGTTCCTTTTTTCATGTAGCATTATCAAGTCTATTATGAATTGATGATATATTATTGCATATGAACTCTTCTTTTGAGTTATATTCTTGATGTTCTGTTTGTAATTCAGTTGTGGGCATCATATGTAAGTGATAGTTGGTAATGCTGATTTAGGAGAAAAAAGGTTAATGGCCGTCTATCAGTTTAATAGTTATGAATTCTGTGCTTCATTTTGTTCTCATCCCTCCTTTACAGGTAACTGTTGTCAATCCTGCCATGGACAGAGTACTGTCACTCTTGCAAAAGTTCGCTCTTGATGCTCAAAAGGGTAAAATTCCGAAAGATAAATTACGATTTGGTGCCCCATGGAGGCACCCGCCAAATAAGGACGACCCTTGCCTGCGTTCAGAATGGGCTAAGCTTCAACTAATGGATTTCATCCAATCTTTAGTCAATGCAGAGTTTGGGGTACATCTCTCTTTCATCTTTTTCTGTCTTCCCTTTATTTTTGGGGGGAAAGTTGGATCATTAAAAAACGGCGTCCACCTGATATTGGCTCTTTCAAACTCAATGTGGACGGTTCCGCTATAAATGGATTCATAACAGGGGGTGCCCAATCCCAAAATTAGTTCTATTCATTGCTGAAGAGTATACATTAATACATATATCAACTGACCAACATTTTGTTACTATTCTTTCTTAAGTAAGCCATCAGTTGCTATTTACCTTTAAAAAGGATGTTAGAAGTAGTAACTTTTGCTTGACTTGTATGATCGTGCTTGGACTAGCCCACTATTTAGTCTAACCACCATGGTTGTGAGAAAACCTTAAAGAATAGGTTGCCTGTAAATGTGGTTCATATTAACAAACATCTGAAGTTATTAAGGGGATGTTTCGATTTATGAGTGTGCATGTTTATAGTTGCTAGATATTATCCAAGGTTCTCTATATCTTCTAATTCATTGCAGTAAACATGTGCAGATTAATTATTTTTCTGATTGTAGTCTTGAGATCTTTGATGATCCTTCTGTTAACGCAATGATTGAGGTACTTTTCATTAGTTCATTTTCTTCTTTAAATTTATCCTTTATATCTATTATCTCAAAAATGGTGTTTAGTAGTGTTGTCATAGTTGGATTCATGTCAAAGATCATCATTGATTCTATATTTCTATAAAAAGCTTCATATCAGCATGCTTTTTTATCGGACCTCTTTAGTGTTACAAATATTAATACCGTGGTTTTAAATTCTCCAACTTCTCAGGTTGGTTTACTCTACGTCCAACGTGATCCATCCTTCTTTCGCCCAATATCTGGTGCTATTCAGAGATGTCTTGTGAGATGGTACAATTATATGTCTTCATGTCTGGAGTCACTTTGAATGCAGCGAGAACTTGCTTATGCTAACTTACACATATCTTGCAGGCTTGTCCAGGAGAGAATTCAAATGAGCTTTAAAAATTCACTCCTATTTCAGTGGCACCGAGTTGTAAGGGGACGTAGCTATCGTCATCTCTTGTTGCAAGTAGGCAACAAATAGAGTTCAAGGTATGTGGACTGTTACACTCTCTGTCCCAAAATAAATGTCCACTGTGAAAAAACCACAAGGTTTTAGAACTGTGCAACTATTACACTTTTTTAATCAACTAATTGACAATTTTACTCTTAATAATAAAGGGAGCAACGAATATCTCCACCTCCATAATTAAGGGTAAAATTTGGAGAGTAGGCACTTTGAAAAGTGGATACTTATTTTGGGACAAACTAAAATAGAAATGGGCACTTATTTATTTTGGGGTGGGGGATTATTTTCTTTATTCTCCATCTTGTGGCCAGTTGTGGGTCCCATCTTTATTTCTTCAAATGTCAAGTAAACGAGACCCATAAGCACGTTTTCGTTCTCTTCACCTCATAGAAATAGGAGAGTAGATGCGGACCTAGAATTATTTTCAAGTTGTGGCACCATTTGACTATAAAAAACAAAGCTATGGATTTTTTAACAAAATCATCATCTGTTTGTTGATTAGTTCCTTGCTTTTTGTATGTGAGGCCCTATGTTCAAGTCTTTTATCTCAATTTTTTAATAATAAACATGAAATTAAGAGAGAAAAACTAAGAATGATACAAATGGGATTCGAACCCGTGTCTGGAAGGGGAGAAAAAACCGTGCAAACCAACTTTATCAAGAGAAACTTGTGTTATTGTAGTTTCAAGAAATATATGGTTGCACCCAGCGAAATAACACCGTGAACAAAGCGGTGGCCCGTGCCACCGTATGCACCATAGTCGGTCCGCCCCTGAATAGGAGCCAACAAATGGAAATATTGTTTATGCAATGTGCCAAGTCATCTGCAACTAGTCTTGCTATCTAGGTTTTGGAAATCTCTTTTATACATTGAAACCATAGAGTGGTTTCTTATGGAATAACCGCAGTCTGGTTTCAGTTTATGCAGATCAATGCTGATTCTCTTGGTGGTGGTGCTTCCTCTCGAGCCTCAAGTTCTAAGTTCTAACAGTAAGTGGTGGTTGAAAACTAACCTTTTAATTGAACCCGATATTGAGATGTGGATATGCTTGATGGCCTGTTTTCATTTTTGTTTTAGATGAATATAAGAAATTTACGTAAATAAAGAGAAGTAGTACACACATCGAAAAAATAAATAAATACTGACCTCCATCCCAAAATAAATGTCCATATTGGAAAAGGCAAAAGATTTTAGAAATTAATCAACTAAATGACAATTGTACCCTTAATAATAGAGGGAGGAATGAATTTCTTCATCTCATAATTAAGGGTAGAACTGGAAAGTAGACACTTACTTTTGAAAGTGGGACACATATTTTGGGACAAACTAAATAGAAATGTGGACACATATTGCAGTTCAAACATGGGTTTGATTCACACTCCATGTTCTGAGAAATATTTACCATCCGTGAAGAGGAAAAATGGAGTCTTTGTCTAAAGACTTGCATTGAGAAAAGCACTTTGCCATTTGATCCGATAGTGTTCCGTCAGATAGGAACATATCTGATAAAAACTATTAATCATATTTCAAATGCTTTTAACTGAAACCTCACAAAATTTGCATAGTGATTTCCTTTTAACAATCACTCATTGATGCAAGAAAAACGATTGTTTTATTAGAATAAGGTAAAACTGGTCCATGTATTTTTTACCTTGATTTATGCTTCATTTGATATCTTGCTATCTATATTTTGGTGTTGTCAGTATTCCATGAACAGATGCTTTCAGAAGCTTCACCGTTGACCTCAGGATAAGAACTCAAATGATGTAAGACACCATCCTCCATATGAAGTTTCCCCCCGTATGTGTGTGTATGTATAAATGTGTGTGTGTGTATATATATATATATATATATTCAAATGAACTCTGTAAATAGTTTGAGAACCTGAGAGCCAACTATTCATGTTTTATTCATGATGGATATCGTGATAGCTATCCATGCTCAAATTATTCTTAGTGAAAATGCATGATATTCATGATTATTGGGGTTATTCATCATGAACACTACATGATATGCTTCCAGGTATTCAAAAATATTTATGGTTCTTATTTGAAATTTCCCCATATGTAGGGTTATGTTCCGGTGAGATTAAGAGTTATTATGAGAATAGTGAGAATACATCCAAACCATTGGAGGAGTTGATTTTTTAATCTAACGGCTAAAAGAATCGTAGATCTTCAACTGATTGCTGACAAAAAACATGGAGCTTCAACTACTTTCATCAACCACAATCTTCACTTTCAATCATTTTCGCGAAGTTTTCCTTATCTTCAATCACTTTCATATGCATGAATTTGTTAAAGTTTCAGCCATGGTGATAGAACATAGGTCAATGAAGGTAGATGAAGGTTTTGTTTTAACATTCTTATCATAACTCTTATTCTCACACAATTCCATGTTATATATATATATATATATATGGAGGTTCAGCGGAAAACCCCCGAAAGATGAAAAACTAGGAACATTCTATGCACCATTCATCTGGACAATATGCACATGTGCCAAGTAATCAAAGTTGTTTC